TACGAGTCTCATTCGCATTTATTAATACGGACAGATCCCCAGTATTTCAATTATCTTTCAACTTATGGAAAAAGTGGAAACTGACTTCTATACATTTTTTCACGTCAGTGGCGAACTCAGATTTCTGGAATGAGTTATAACTATGCAGATATAACCAAAAGTTATGTTTTTTTTTCTAATGGAACACCTTGTAAATTTTCCACAAAAATATTTTCTCATATTTGGAACAATGATGCTTGGCGCTTTCCAAAAACTTATAACACTAGGTAATATGAAATTTCGGGTATTACCCATGAACTTAGATAGTTTCTATAGTCTTTCAGTGGATTTTCCATCGATGGGCCTTGTGAATAGGTGGCAACATTGTCCATATCAATAATTTTCATATATTATACTGAATTACTGACACAATTTTTGTCACACGCTAGTTTGAATTTTAACAACATTCAACATTTACAAATATTCACTTATATAATAATTACACGATAGTTTTATTTTAAGTAAATTTGACATAATATATCAATAAGAATTTTGATGCCTGGGAATTTGACAAAAACAGCTGTCTCTGAAAAAATAACGAGTCCGTTAGGTTCCGTTATTGTCGTTGGAGAGTTAGGGCAAATTTTTTTCGCTGTCATAATGACAAAATCGCGAGGCTTGTGGGATTTTTCAAACATGAATTGACTTGTCAGCTTTTTTATTGACTATTGAAGCTGTGGACCTTATTAGAAGGTGACTATGTAAACAGGTGGCAACATTGTCCATATCATAAATTTTCATATTTACTTTATTGCTGACCCAAGTTTTGTCACACACTAGTTTCAATTTTAACAACATTCAACTTTCACAAATATTCAGCACTAATTATTGACTATAAACGCTGATGTGGCCTTATTAGAAGAAGAAGAAGCAGGTGTGTAGAATGGTTTTCAATCCATGTCACCTACCTGTCGGAATTTTTCATACGATGGTTAATACCAATCCCGGATATGAAAACTACTAAAAATTGGTTGGGATATTAGATGGTTTCTCAAATTTCGTAGTTCTGATGATAACCTGGATCATCGTTTGCCATTGTATGAAAATTCTGAAAATTCGACAGGTAAGTGACAAATATTATGAAACATTCTGCTTTCGCTTCTTTTTTTCATAGCCACCTACTAATTAAGTTCACAGATTCGATAGTCAATGGATGGTGCTGAATATTGGTAAATGTGTTACGAGTCGATTTCACTTTAACCAAAAAGCACTGCTAAATCTATGGAAATCGAATGATTTTGTACTAACCTTCGAGCTGAACCTTTGAGCATGATTGTGGAGCCCTACGCCTGACTACTTTGGTGGACAAAAGTAACATATCGATCTGACAGAATCTATTTTCTTTCTGAAAGTCAGCAAGCTATTTTGTTCATGGTATAACTCAACCACCAAGTGCTGCTTTATAATTCTTAAATAATGGAATTAGGCACTTGAAGAATGTTGCATCAGTATTTCACCTTTGTTATTGGTTATATTGTCAAAATTCCTGTGTTTATCTAGTGCTGGTAATGAACCTTAACTCAAGATATGCTTATTCTTCTTTTGACAATTTACTGACAGGGGACATAGCCAGCAGGTCGCTGAGCAGTGTGGTTGGCCAAGGAATGGTGTGTTCCGAATGAGCGCGTTGCGGTAATCAAACAGTTTCAATGGTCTGATATGAATTCCGATGTTCCGTGTTCTGTGATGTCAATTAGGCAAATGTGCTATTTCGGCTCCTGATTTCTGATTTCTGTTGTTCTGTGGCTCTATGCTATCATTTGAGTGATGACTTGATGAGTGATATCGGTCATGCGCATAACTCCTTCCTCTTGCACGCCAAATCTAGGAGAGAGAGATAACAATATAGTGGGGATTCTTCCTGGAAAATTAGTTTTCTCAGAGTGGAGGGAAAATGGCGTCTCAAGCGTCCTTTTTCGGTCGAATTTCCGATTTTTGTTAACATTAATATGTGTAACTAGTGAGCACAGTGAAAATGTTGTATTGGTTGTATCTGAAATGGTTCCCGCCGAATTTTGAAGTCGGTGGTCCCAAACTTGTCCTCCTACGAGCCGAAAAACGACGAAGGAACATCCACTACCTGGACCTGATTTTTGGGATTCTGATTTTGGTGACTGGCTACGGTAGAACGTAAGATAGGATTGAAGTCTTTTATTTCGTTGAGTATCGCTTATCGTATTTGGTTTATTTGTCCACTACTAGTGGGATCAAGAGAGACTTCTTCCACTTCATTCTGGACTTGGAGTTCAGAAAATCTCGAAAGAGGATTATTGTGTCTTCGTTCGCCGGCCATCTTCATCACCACGTGAAGCCCACACACCATCCAAAGGTTTGTAATATTTCTGGTACTACTCCAAGGATAAGAACTATCAACACCCAAGATGAAAATAGGTTTACAGGTGTTTTCTCTTTTTAGGGCTTCTTGATGTGAATGCACTTCTTATTGATGTACTTGGACTTATTGGTTCAGTCGGAGTTCTTCAGGTACTTGGAATTCTCAAGGTACTTGGCATTCTTGAGGTACTTGGAACTCTTGAGTCACTTGGAATTCTTGAGGTACTTGTAATTCTTGAGGTTCTTGGATTTGAGATGTAAATGGACTTCCTGGTTTACTTGAAGTGTTCTGGTTAACCTACATGATCTAGTCTGAGGCTATCGACTTGGAGTTACAAGTTTCATCCCCTGTATGATTGATTTCTTGGCTGTCAAACAAGGAGTCCAACTAACTAGCTGCTGACTGCTTGCCTGCAGTAGTCACCATAGGATTCACAGCATCTTACTGCTTTGAGCCATCCCGGACTGTACTGTTCAGAAGATGGTAGTATAAGTGGGAATGTAACACATTAAACTAAGATCCTGCTCTCTGGTAAGCGTCTTATAGTTTATTTTGGGGCACTACTACCTGGATATTGCAAGAGCTATTAGAATTACGTCATCAGTCAACTGGAAGTTTATCATCAATCTGCAAAAGTTTTAATAAATAGGCCATTTTTTTTATTAAGTGAAAGTTCTATGTGAACTGAGGTGATCACCAAGGTATAGTCATCAGTACTGTGTTATATCATATTTCTTATCAGTGTGGGAAAACCCAACTGCTTGTAAAGTATAAAAAGGGGCCAAATTCATAACTGCAACACCAGAACAGCACCTGTGTTGTGTTTTATTAAATTTAGTAGACATTGAACACTGCCACTTTCATTCACACCAACCTTACTCACCCCACCGCCCACTGAGCTAGTCAGTGTTCTATTCCTTCGGAATGAATAGGGCACTTTGAACACTAACTTGCATTACAAACCTCAGTATATTTAGCCTCCCCAGCAGGGTTGAAGGGATAACAACCATTCCCTTTTGAAGGAATTTCAAAGCCACCTCCTACCCTTCAAAAATTTAGTAATAAATGTTGAATGTTGGTGAAATTGAAACTAGAGTGTGATGGAACACTGTATCAGCAACAAAATAAATATTGTCGTTGAATAAATCATAATAGGAGATACCCATGATGTTTTAGTTCATTCTTTACTTTTTCGAGCAGCATGTCCGAATATTCCTTATTCTTCATGACAAAATATCAAGTGAATGTTGGAGACTAGGCAACATTGTGCTGAATGCTGAGATCTGACAAGATCACGCCAACAAGTCGTGCGCCGTGGTTGTCACCTTCTCCGATCCAAATGTCCTCTAGTGTGAATTGATATAATTATTATTAACACACATTTATTATAAGCAATAAGCCACAAATCATAAGGGAACATTTTGAGACAATTGAATTTTTATTGCTTATCAGGAATATTACCAATACTCAATTGAGAATTTATGAATTATCTATTACTAATATTTTCGAAGTTCCCAATCGTATTTCAACACATGGAAACTGTGCTATGGTCTGCCCCTTCTTACGAAATCGTGGAATCTGTCTTTACTGGCGGTAAATGTCTAGTCCTTCGAAAAATACCGTGGCATTATTGATGATTTCAGCACCCAAAAATCTACCCAAAAATTCTTAACAAATATGACATCGAATATGGTATTTTAGAAATGATTCTATTAAAGAAATACTAAAAATAGTCCACTCGCCTATTAGAGAGTTGAAGTGATCACTGTACGTAGACCTCCACGTAGACGTTAACGTACGAAAAATAACGTTTACGTATTGTCGTTAAATTGAGTTGAAGTCGCCACTTTGGTCGTCACTGTCATCATAACGTAATAATACATTTTGTTTTCGGTTTGTATTGGTCATTTTTTGTTGTGTATTTCGAGTATAGTTTGGTTAACGTACGTTGATATTTAAGGTATACGTGAAGGAACGTGAGATAACGTACACCCGTAAGCCCACTAACAACGCAAACGTGAAGAATTGGAAAATGCGCATGCGTAGCTGTCAATTTCTACGTTTACGTTAACGTTCATGGCAACACTCCAACTCTCTATTATGTTGTTTTGTAGCTCAGCGATATTGTTAAGCTTCGTACAGGGCCTACACATGTTTTACATGATCCCACAGAAGAAAAACCTGAGGAGGTAAATCTGGGGACCGTGCTGGCCATGGTATAGAGCCAATATTTCCAATTCAGTTATCCCCAAACTAGTTATTCAGATATGTCTAGTAGGTACATCAGTCGTCTGATTCCGTCTTTAGATTTATAATAATGGTGGACGAAATGTCTCATATTATGCTATTGAGTTGTTGATTTGACATCATCTAGATTCGAGGGCGTATTCATGGAGAGTATGATATATCATTGTGTTCGTGAGCTAATACGCTACTTGAACATACAACAACAATAGGTGGCTAAGGGATGATTTGTCGGGGGGTAGCTTTAGTGCAACACACTTTCTCATATAGGCCAGATGTTTCAGAACATTGATAGTATTACCCGTTTTCAGGAAAATGCGAGTATAAATAGAGCTGGGACACTCGATATCGATTAATTGGCGATTGACGACGTTTTTTTCAGGTCTATACTTCAGCAGCACATGCAGATCCACACAGGCAAAGAGTGTAAGTGCCCTCACATCGGGTGCGTCTACACGGCCAGAAAGATGAGCGAAATCAATCAACATTTCAAAATTCATCAAGACGCCAAAGAACACGCCTGCCAAGTTTGCGAGTATAAAGGAAAAACTAAACAACATTTGACTAGGTGAGAGAGTTGTTTTCCATTTTTCTGTGAACCCGATACATAATATCAAAATAATCTTGATCAGGAGGTGGTAATGGATAATAATAATAATAATAATAATAATAATAATAATAATAATAATAATAATATAATAATCATTTATTCGAATAGGGCATCCTAATATACAAACTACATTCATTAAAGTTTATAAATTGTAAAGTCTCAAATATAAGTATATTACACAGATGAAGTTCATATTGAATATTAAAGAATCCAAACAATCAATAGTGAAATGGAGAATATTGTATATAAAGAAAAAGAAAAATTTATAAGTATGTTATTTAACTATTGTCGATACTATCGACTATAAAAAAAATACTCTGAGGTTAATTGATATCTCATTTTCAAATATCTAACAAGGAATTTCTTAAATGTTCTAAGAGATTCACTTTGTTTTATATCATCTGGGAGGCCATTGTACTCTAGTAGTCCTTTATGGAATAAAGAGTTTATTGAACTAGTGTAATTAAGGCGTGGTACATACAGGTTATTATTACCTCTGGTAGGATAATTATGAATTTGATGCTGGAATATGATGAATTGAACAAAGTACAAGGGAGCATTACCAGAAATTATTTTGAAAATAAGTATCATTGAGAAATAAAACAAGCGATCCTTTACAGTTAGCCAATTTAGAACTTCAAGCATCGTTTTTGTTGGTGTATATCTATTACATTTCAATATCAAACGCATACCTCTATTTCGTAACTTATGTAGTGAGAATACAGAGTTCGCATCTATCAGTGACTGTAAACTAGCACAGTAATCGAAATGGGGTTGAATAATGGATTCAAAAACTGTAATAGAAGTTTGAAACGGCAAGTATCTATTGGCACGACTAAAGAAATACATTTTTTCAACAATTTTGTCACGGATATATTGAAAATGTTTTTTCATGACCAATGTTTGATCAACAATAAACCCCAAATACTTAAATTTCTCTACAATATCAATTTTCTCATCATAAACATTTATACATATTGATGTTTTGTGAATTGAATTGTGTCTATGTTTAGTTGAGATAATCATTGCTTTGGTTTTATTTGTATTTAATTTTAGTTTATTGATGTTGAGAAACTCAGTAATCTTGATTAGTATGTCATTCATTTTATTAATTGCTGTCAGGTTCGCTAACTGCAATGAGAGTGTCATCGGCAAATAGGTTGATGAATTCACATCCTTCCAGAAAGTTGATGTCATTTAGGTATAATATGAATAATATGGGACCTAGAACATTTCCTTGAGGTAGACCATTACTGATATTTTCCGGTCTTGAACATGTACCATTAACCTTGGTATGTTGGGTTCGGTTAGAGAGATAGCTTCCAAACCATGCAAGTACAGTACCTGGTATCTTATAGTATTCGAGTTTTTTTAGTAAAACCGGAACATCGATGGTTTCGAATGCTCTTTCAAAATCTAAGAACACTGCAACAACATATTTCCTGTCATCAATAGCTAATTTCCATTTAGATAGGGAGACTTGTAGGGCTGTTTCACATGAGTGTTTAGACCTAAATCCTGATTGGTTAGTCATGAGAAGCTTATTACTCTCAATGTACTTGATCAATTGTTTATAAACTGTCATTTCAATCATTTTTCCAAGAGGAGGTGAAGTATTAATCGGACGAAAATTTATAGCTTCATTTGTATTATTAATCTTTTGAACAGGGATTACAGTACTATTTTTGAGATCTTGAGGGAATTTTCCGGTTCTTAGTGATGTGTTCACTAAGTTTAACACACCTCCAATAACATCAAAAATATTTTTGAGGACTTTATTATTCAGGTAGTTGGAGTTGCATTTGTTATCGAAACTTTTAATAATGTTTCTAAGTTCGGTCATTGATAATAAAGCAAATTCAGATATATTAGAATTGATTGGTGGTAAATTATCCGAATGGTGTTCTTAATCGCGATTATACTGTCAATGAAGAAAGTATTAAACTTTCCAGCTTTTTCCAGATCAGAAGTAATTATTTCAACTCCATGAGCTGTTGAGAATAAGATATCATGCGGCAGTGAGTCATTGTTCGGTTTGACCAAATGTTTTAGAATTTTCCACATTTCTTTTGAGTCATTAGAACAGTTATCGATTTTATTAGAATAATAATTGGATTTTTTCGTTTTCAGTAAATTGACAACTTCATTTCTGTAATGATCAGTTATTTTAGGGATGTCGTGTACTGTAGATACTGTATGAGTTGTATTACTGAGTACATAATCGATTAATGTGCTACTACTGTCAGTAACTCTGGTAGGTTCTTTGACTGACTGTTCCACACCTAATGAAGTAATATGGCTTTTGAATTGTCTGACATATCTATCATCAACATCTAATAAATTTAAATTGAAATCTCCTACTAATAAATATTTACATTGATCATTAAAAATAGTATCTGCCAAATCTTCAAATTTATCAAAGAAGATTCCATAATAATTGTTTGAATCGTGAACCAATTATATAAAAGTTTGAATTTGCGAATTCTCAAGGCTACGTTTGCAATAACTCAGACTTGAAACTTGACAGATGAGACTATTCGAGATTATAACCACCGTTGAGGGCGCTGCGAGACGTAAACAACCATGGAGAACTGTGGGTAATGTTTCTTGTTTTGTACAGTGAATCGGTGTCGTCCATTCGTTTTTAAGCTTTGTGAGATAATGATATGAAATATTGAGGAGTGATGGAAAGTGATCACTATACTTGAATCAAATGATGAATCCATTACCAATAACTCACTAGGTGAGTTCACGATTTCACCACCAGGTGGCGTCTAGACTTTTGGATTCGCGAATATTCAGAGCAGTTGTATGAATGCTTATATTTCATCACCTATAAAATCGAGATATTTTCAAGATCATATTAGGAAAAGACTCTGAATTGGCCATTAGACGATTAATTTCCTTTTCATCATCAGTTTCACCAGGATAATTCTCGATTCCTCAATAATATCTACCTACAATATTTATTATGTAACAAAAATAATTACTGATTTCCCTAATATTGATTGCAGGCATATGACCCTCCACGCCAATACGAAGAGATATCAGTGCTCGCAGTGCTCTTTTACATCTAGGGATTCTACGCATCTTCGAAGACATATTCGTATCCACACGGGAGCAAAACCGTTCAGTTGTCCATACTGTAACTACAAGTGTAACAATCTGGTGAGTTATAGTGATTTTTACATTCTCCTCCTCTGATGATGATATTTAGGTTCTGTAACGACCTAGTGTCGTTTTTGATTTCCCAGGCTATTTTAGCTGAATAGGGTGTGTGGTTCTTTGGACTGCCTTGCAAGTTTCTGATTTCTCTCATTGTGTCAAGCAGGGGAGTTTTGAAATTACTTGTGACTGGACGACAGAATTTTCTGTTTATTGGATAGGATGAAAATTCAAAGTACCATCGAGACGAAAAGATAGATTTCCTTCGTACAATGGAGCAAGAAAACAACTTTTCAATTTCAAAACAAATAATATACAAGATTATGGAAATCCTACTACTTGTGATAAATGAGTGTTGTCGAGAATTAGTGGTAGGTAAGCCAAGATAAGAACTGAAGTTGAAATTGAATTCTAATTATGTATTTTCTGCTATTACATGAGCAACAGGTCATATTGTCGTTGCTGAATCTGTAGGAGTTATGTTTAGAAATACCTTAGTTGCTGAAGTGTTCTCAACACTAGGAACCTGGATCTACATGGACTCCCTAGGTATAGTATATAATCAGCTGGAGATACACCAATCAGACTTTAATATTCGACTTCAGCTCAGGAACGTGGATATTTCAGGATCGCCGATGTTGTTTATAGCATGAAAAACAATTCAGAATATTAGATGATGTAACAATTATAAGATGATGTGACAATTCTCAATCAACACGTGTTGAATCAGCTGAATCATTCCTTAATTGAATATAAAAATAATATCAAAGTTTTAATGAAGAAAATTAAAATCGAAATCTGATTTTGAAATCGAACAGTTATAGGTATCAGATATTCAAATTTCCAATATTTGAAGTAATTCATATATTTCAAAAGAAATGACTCCTATTGTTGCCAGATAAGATACTTCTCAATGAGTTTTTAAGATAAAATATTACTCAATGATCTTAAGATAAAAATTACTTAGTGGGTTGAAGGTAAGACAAGATTCAGTATACGTGGTATGATTCCCAAGTTTGATTCTGACTACTTAATGGTCGAATGATTCTTCAGAAAATCTTCTGAGATAGATATCAGATGTAATATGTCAGAAGATATATATGAAATATAGTGTATCAAAATGCTTGAATATTTCCAATGGCGCAATTGCAAGATAAGATGAGATAATCAAGATAATTAAGATGATTAAGATTATTGAGATAATCCGATCAACTTGAAATTTGGCAGGTGTTCATAATTTCGATGACAATACAATAGTAATTTTTGTTGAAATTGAAAAAAATGGCTGCTCCAAGATGGCGGACAAGATTTGGTCCGATTCCAATCAAAATGGGTAAGTGGGGGTTTTTGAGGTGCGGAGATCATGTTTTTTTTGTTAAAATTCATAAATTCAAGATGGCGGCTTCCAAATAATTTTTTGTTTTTGTATAAATGACGATAACTCCGTTGTTATCAACACAAAACTATAACTGCGACATATCATCTGTAAGAGAAAAATAAGTTATTTGTAACTAGGTCATAGTGAGCTATGACCCATATTTGAAAATCTGAACTTGGTGCTGATTTCTCAAATTCTAGAAGAGTTGGTATAAATTTCATATTTTTTTCGAAATCACTTCGAAAAACTGCCATGAGAATCTGAAATTCCTATTTGAATATTTCCATAAATGAAGAAGATACGGAGGAGACATGAAAATGATCAAAATCTGTTTTTTGCGTATATAACAAAAACGAATAGATTTTATCAAAATATTTTTTCACATTATAGTTGGCCTTGACCAACTCCACATTTGGTGTCATTTAACCGACCTCATATCTCTCACCGTTAAAAAGATACCCATGGTGAGCATGGTAAGTAGGACACACTGTATATCGACCTATATCGATTTTGTCGTGAACGTGAAATTCATGATAATATAGATCACTAAACGGTCAATATGCATCTGAGATAGCTTCGGCTATTGAACGCTAGACGCTAGATGTTTTCTGAAATTCTACGGAATTTGATGTTCTTATAATTGAACATAGATGGACGATAATGATAATTATAGAATATTCAATATGAATGTAACGATTGTATCGTTACAGTTCGAAAAGTTGGATAATTGGACCCCCTTATGCAACAAGGAACCAACCGACATTAGTGAAAAAACAATATATTACACCATTATATGAGAACCTAATTGTAGATTGAAGTTCACTGTAAGGATCTACACCTTTTCCAATAGTTATTCAGAAAGCGTCAAATGCAATTCAGACAATATCATCTGTAATTCAGATTAGTGAATTGAAATTCAGGAAATATCAAATGTAATTCAGAATTGTCAATTGATATTCAGAATGCGTCATTTGTAATTCAGATTAATCAACTGAAATTCAGAAAGCGTTAGTTAGAATTCAGAAAGCGTCATTTATAATTCAGAATGTATCATTTGTAATTCAGAATGGGTCAATTGTAATTCAGACTATGTCATTTGTAATTCAGAATAGTCAATTGAATTTTAGAAAATATCAATTGTACTTCAGATTAGTCAATTGAAATTCAGAAAATATCAATTGTAATTCAGAAAACTTCATTTGAAATTCAGAAATATGGAACAGTGTTACCTCTGCATGCATACCTATCTACAATCCATGATTATCAAGAGTACCTACCTACTGTGTATATCCTATTGTCTTGGAAACGAATATTCTAACTTCAAATAATTATACATCATCTCATAGAACTTCAAAGACAACTGTATGATTTGTCGTATCCAAATGACTCGAAATGCAGTTATAAGATTGCAGCCATGTAATCATTTTGTGCATTCGAGGTGTGCTTTACCACCACAGAATTTGGCAGATGTTACTTGCCCACTATGCAGAGCAATTTCAACTGGACGTTTTGACGTTGAAAGAAATAGGTATTGATCCATATATTTCATTGAAACGAATCATTCACAGGTTCTTTCATCAGATATAAGAAACATAATCATCAAGATCGTGAAAGGATTGTGGAATGCGCAGAAAAGGGGGATGACTGGGTAGCACTATCAGCATCAATATTAGGAGTCAAATATAAGACCGCTTTTCATTGGGTTCGTTCAGGACGTAGCGAAATGTTCCCCAGAGGAGGCATAAAACCTAAGATACTAACTGAAGATCAAATAGATATAGTCATTTCTTGGATTGACGAAGACTGCGGCTTAACATTGAAAAAAGTAAAAGAAAAAATTAGAGAACATTTCCAAGTAGTTGTGGCGTTGTCTACCATCGGAAATTATCTGGAAGGTAGATTGTTTTCAGTGAAACAAACTCACAATGAGCCAATCACAATGAACAGTCCTGAAAATAAAAGAAAACGTGAGGAGTACGTTCAAGCTCTCAAACAATTCATCCGTGACGGCAAACAAATCATTTAGAATGACGAAACAAATTTCAATTTATTTTGCCGTCGAACAAGGGGACGTTCTCGAAGTGGAGCCAGAGCTGTACAACAGATACCGGCTGCAAGAGGACCCAATGTACATCTCATTGCGGCAATTTCGGCAGCTGGGGTAGTAACTATGGAAAGAAGGAGAGGATCTTTCAAGACCGAAACTGCAAATGCTTGGGTAGCATCTCTACTACAGCTTGCGGACTCGGTCATAGTGTCATGCTCCCTGTCATTCCCGACTGGAGAACGTTGTGAATGAAACGACTGCACATCTTTTAAGATTGGCTCCATATTCTCCAATGCTGAATCCTATTGAAACCATCTGGTCTAAAATTAAGACATACATTAAAGTGAATCTTCGTACTCCCCAAGTTGCCGGCCCTGGTGTCGTTGAACAAAGACTATTGTTCCTCGAAAGAATTATTGACCAGGCAAAGCAGACAATTGTTGGAGGAGACTGTGCTCGAGCAGCACAGCATACCACGATTCACCATGCTGGTGCTTTGGCTTCAGAAAATAGGCCCGTGGGTCGCTGAATGATGGATATTTTTATTTTTACTTGCTATGTCTCAATTCAATCCCAATATTGTTCGTTTTCATACATTACTCGCTGATAGTTATTGTATTATGAATGAGTTTGATAAAAACAAACTTGTGTTATTGTATTCCACATAATATATGATTACTGATTAAATTTCGAGGTGAACAACAACTGTTTTCTGAATTCCAATTGACTAATCTGAATTACAATTGACGCTATCTGAATTTCTATTGATGCTTTCTGAATTTCATTTGACAAATCTGAATTACAATTGAAGTTTTCCGAATTTCACCTGACTGATCTGAATTTCAATTGATTTTTTCTGAATTTCAAGTAACTCATCTGAATTACGAATCACGTAGTCTGAATTACAATTGACTCATTCTGAATTACAAATGACGATATCTAAATTTCAATTGACGCATCCTAAATTTCAATTGAAAAATCTGAATAACAACTGATATTTTCTAAATTTCAGTTGACTAATCTGAATTACAATTGATATTTTCTTAATTTCGATTGACTAATCTGAATTACAACTGACGTTTTCTGAATTTCATTTGAGAAATCTGAATTACAATTGGTGCTTTCTGAAATACATCTGGAAAAGGTGTAGAATCTTGGTTTTATTGAGAAAATTCTATTATAAAAATAATGAGAATGACCTTTTTTCTTAAACGTCTGTCAACTATATTTTATTCATGTCATTAGTACATACATGATACTTAATACAGGGCATTCTATCAAAATCAACATAAAGCTATTCAACACCCCTACTCAATTTAAATAATTCACAGAATGTTTGAATTGCAAATTGAATAATAAAAATGAACCACATAATTAGTATGCCTTCACATTCAACATGTTTCTGAAAAATTCAAATTTATCTTTACAGAGTGATTTTGTAAAAATATCAGCCACATTTTCGTTTGAAGGAACATACATCATTTTTATAAGTCCCTTTTAGCTACAGTATCTTTTATGAAATGAGCTTTGATGTCTATATGCTTTGTCCTCTTACTATTTTCAAAACTTTCGATGGAA